TGCGGACAATTAACGTGTCTCACCCCTCGGGGGTGGTGGATAAAATAATTGGCCGATAGTGAACGTAGGCGTTGCTTGTCTAAGCGTATTTTTACTTCGGTCCACGAGACGTCTCGAGGAGATTAATGGCGTGTACGAAACACAGACGCGGATCATTAATTTCCTTCCCCTATCCAACCGTAAAAAAACGGAACAAAAGTCAACGAGGTTCACCCCTTTTCCTACTGGCAATTAAAAGAAACCACAAACCTCTAACTTAACGTATTATCTATGAATCTCCTCCTCGTATCTTTTCTGTGCGCGTTGACATGGCTACAAATAACGAAACGAATCGCACCCTCTAATGTGTTAATTCGCCATTTTAATGGGTTTAATTCGTCTTGCACTATTTTCGAATGACCACGTTTAATTATATGATATTTGAGTATTCAATTTTGTGGATTTCGTGAGGAATTTTCGTTTGAAATTTTATTTCTCTTCTTTTTTCTTTTTCTTTCGTTGGTTAGTTGGTTTGCTGCTGCATCTGAAGAAGATTGGAAAGGTGATATTTAATTCTAACGATAATGGTGTATGTGTGTGATTTAAATTTTTAAAAAATCGTTGATAAATTGCGAACTTACCGGACAAGAGATTTGAAGAGATTAAGAAATTACAAGAAATTTTATATCGTGGTTGATAGAGTTTAGGATTTGCATAGATATATCGTATATTTCAATATTTGGTATAAAATATAACACTTACGCATGCAACGAATCTTTCGTATTCTTTTACAATCGAATTTATTTTTATTTTAACTGAAAGTACAGAAAAATTGAATTAAAAATATAAGATTCGAACAATAAGCAAATAAAATGAAATACATTAATGTACGAGTATAAAGAAGACTTGATTAAATTAAAAAGATTATCATTGCTTTACAAACTTCGATATTTCGATAACTGATGATCCTAAAACGACCTAAATTTTCACATCGTATATGTACGATGCACAATATAAACCAATATTATAGATCACCAGAAAATATCCACGAAAACGAATACCCATTTCCCAACTCCATTGAATCTTGAAAATATACAATATAAGAGGTATCTCGATCTTCAATATTCCAACATTGCGCTCCACGCATTCCCCAACAACATCCAATGCTCCCATTCAACCGGCTAAAAACACCATTTGTATCTCAAAAACGCGATACACTTTTCCAACAAACTTCAAACTTTTACAAAAATGAACAGTCATTTTTAAACTTTATCCAGTCACAAAGATTACCAGGAGACCTCCATCTTCGATCGATATTCCATCAACGATACATCGAACGTAACCTATATCCAACGAGATTTTAAATTCTCATCGCGAGCCGGAGACGTCTGATCGTCGTAAAAATGGATCGTGCCATCCATTAAAAACGATATTCGACTTAAGACTCCCTTATTGTCAGCCCTTAGTGATGGAAGTCGAAAGCATTTCGTAAAATGTCTAGGTTTGGCCATCGATCCTCGATATGGGCCATATCTGTCCCATTACCTTGCGAACTGCGACGATTCAACGAAATCTGTGGAGGTGATATCCACGCGATTCGGCGTAAAGTAAAACTGTGATAAAACCATATATAGTAAGCCATCTATGATGTCGAATAGAACTTGGAAATTTAGTTCTTTGTAACTCGTTATGGGTCGTAGATGTCGTTCCAATAGCAGTTAAGCTAGGTAATTTTATTTACTCAGTTATAGCCAGTGATACGATTGACAGGTCAATGGATGCATTGAGAAAGATTTTGTGATTCAACGAGTAGGTTTTGATGAAAAATGAAATATATAATTATACGTATATTAATGTTGTTTAAAATTTTTTAATTTTGTTTAAAATATTTCTGGTAGATGATGTTACGATGGTTATATAGATGATGTTATGGTTATATAGATATACTTATATAGTACATGTAGTGTAGTACATATACGTGTAGTTTTCTGTACAATGTATATATATTTCATATTAGTTCAATGATTACAATTTTTTATTTAGTTCTTACATTAAGTATTTTAAAAATTACAATTGATTAAAAATATGAATTTCATATTACTTATTTTATGTAAAACTCCCTTTTGCAAATCGAAAGATGAAGAAGATAATAGAAATCTCGAAAAAAAAAATATGTTACGTTAAAATATTGTCAATATTTTACATGCTTTAATTTGATCTTTAATATGATTTATTTGATATATTGTACGAAATTAAACGAGAGTTGTGTAATTCAAAAGGATGTAGTCCGTGCTATAGTGGATTGTTTGATAAAAAATATATTTGATGAAGTTCCATTCACTAAAGACTTTATTAAAGAAGAAGTTTCTAAATTGCTTTTATGAAATTCGTTAACTTCCTTTGTAACATCTTAGGAAAAGAGGAACTTTTATTATATTGCACTACTCAATTTTTCTTTTTCAGAAAAAAAGAGCAAAAATCTTTTTATCCTTGATTACAAATTCCGGCTGTTTATTAATCTATAAATATGAAAGTACTTAAGTCGTCAAATCGTTATATAAGAAACTTCAAATTTGAAATTATATAAATAAGTTATATGGACATTTGGCTAATACCTGATAAAATTCAGCTGTTATAACAATTCTGTTATAACAAATTCAGCTGAGTATAACAAATTCTAAAATAATAAATTTTCAAATATTCAAAAATCAAAAATCTGAAATTATTCTAACATATTCTAATTTCAACATAATTATTCTATTTTCAAAAATTTTCAAGATTCATGATGCACATATAATTAGCACAAAAAACTTCCACTCTCGAGTTGATTATAAACCTCCTAATCTTTCTGATCGCGTGCTAATTTCCATTTAGCCAGAAATAAAGCTCGACAAAGAAAATTGAAACATTACGGTAATTGGTGCACGATAAAAGTCGGTTACGTAGATTGCTGAACCATTTTTGTAATTCGACGTCACGTTGAAAACATCGGAACTCATACAAAAATAATTTAAGCGATTAGGTCACGACAAGCTAATAAGTCAACTTGAGAAATTGGAAAGATAAATGGGAATCACTATTGATTAAGTTATTATTAAGTTAGGTTTGAACATCGTTATGATTATTATCGTTATATCGTGAATTTCTTTATGCAGAATCTTTTTTCTGGTTTTATATTTTAATACAAAGTCTATATTAAGTTCATGCTAATATAATTATAATGAAATTTTTTTTATTATTATTTAATATTCTTTTTTATATAATCAGTTACAGTAATTGTAGTATTACGGTATTGCAGTTACAATAATTATATATATATATATATATATAATTTTATGATTATTATATATATATGTATATTATATATATGATGTGTGTAATTAAGTTTTGTATAAAAGTTTGTGATCTAATAATTGAGGATTTTTTGATGCAAGGAACGTACAATACTTCATCGTCTTTTTCACAAATATGCTGGAAAGACTCTTACGAGTGTTAATGGTTGATTTGCAGACATTACACCACTTTCTCTCTACTGCATGCGGTCTGCATACGTGGTTAGGAACTGTCCACATAGAAAGTGAAAACAAGCATGCACGCAACTCGCCTACAAAACATTAGAGTTTGTATTGTATTCATAAAAGCTTCCGTGAGAATTATATAACAATTCAGGTTGCGTATATTGTCAGTATTAATAAATATAGCGAATTAGAAGTATTTAAGGAAATTTCATTTTGATATAAAAATTATATTAATTATATTATTTATTAAAAAACAATTATCTTAAACTTTTTTTTTGTTTAATATATTTTTTGTTCCACATTATATGATTTTATTTATTTGTTATATATGATTTATATGTTATATATTTATTATATTTCAAAATAAAGTCGAACAATAATTAGGTTCTTTGTGATTCAACTCAAAGCCACAATTAAGGTTAAAACTTATCTAAAATTGGTTTCTCCTAACGAACTAGAAATCCTTGGTTACGGTTACCAGGGACTTACGGATCTATTGGCTATGATTTTTATCGACTGACAACCGTAGAAACGACAGACGGAAGACGGAAGATCCAGTTGAAGGAAGGAGACTTGTCCAGCGGAAACGATTTCTAACCAGATTTAATAGGCATCCTTTCCTTTTTTGGCCAATTTACGTTATTTCCTTGAAAATTAATACAATTCAGCATAAAAAAAGAAAATAAATTATTTCAATTTGATTATGATTTAATTATAATAAAAATATTGTAATAAATTAAGAGGGAGGTAAGAAAGAAATAATAATTTCAATATATGTTTAACAAATTTTCACCAAATTTTACATTTGATAGATGCAGTCGATTAGATAAGAGCAAGTAAAATTTCTTAAGTGAAAACTTTCTATTAGACTCGAGAACTTTTAGAATTACTTTACGCTTCGAAGTTTTTGATTTCATTTTTAACTTCGTGTTTTAAAATTCTCATCTTTCGATAAATTGCTTAAGAGAGGAAGGATTTTTCGATTAAACCTGTTGATTTTTTACTTGCACGCAGATAATAATAAAATTTCTTTTTCATTGCATAATTGTCTACATATCATAAAATACAAATTAATCAGAATTAAAGCTCCATTTCATTATAGTAATTATTCAATAATTCAGTAATTATTCAATAATTCTAAAATCAGAACTTATGTTGCTTTTATGATGTTGAAATGTAATTTTTATAATCGATGAATTCTTTTTTTTTTTTTTGTTTTAAATAGCATAAGAGATAAAAAAGGACTGAAATAAATAAGAAAACGTTGGATACCCAAGGATTGTGATTCAAACTGTATACTTATAGAATAGTTGATGTTAAAAATTAATCCTAATAACAATATTGATCAGAGTCCAAAATTCTATTTGAATTTTCCAAACATAAAAAGGAACAGTGAATGAGAAAAAGGGAATCTAGAAAAAAAAAATATAATAAACGTTGGATAATAAACGTTTCAAAATGTACACTTATGGAATAGTATACTTACTTTATGTTGAATTTTAATCCTCTCAGAATTCTCTTTACATTGTATACAGAAAAGGGCCATGAATGGAAGAGTAATTCAAAATAAACTCAACCTAGTGTGTCAAGATTAATTACCTCGACCACCAAATTTTACTTTATCCAATATTCCAATATAAGACAGGTACAATCTGGCATTATAAGGATTAAGAAAGAATATTCGTTCAATTTCAAACGTAAAACTTAACGATAATAATCAAATTGATGAATAATTTATTTTTATCATATCACCTCAAAATGAAAACGATATTTCTCGAGAGCTTAGAACGAGAAATAATAACGTTGCTATTTATCACCAGAGCATCATTAATGCCCGATTTAATGGCAAACAATGTTCTCGATGGATGCAATCGATCGATTTATAGGATCGCTGGTATGCGGAACGGGCATTACAATTACGACTAAACATCGTTCCCACCTAATAACTCTTCGTTACGATCTGGGCTACGATGGGCTAATTTTTTAAACCTTCATTGTTGCATTCGAGCATTACGCTGATTGATCCTCCGTGTAAATTAGTTTTGGATTCGATCCATTCAAACTGCAGCAGTTCGATTGTAGCAATTTTTAAATACATTATTATTTCCTTTTTTTTTTCTTCTTTGATCTGCAAGTCTCTTGGATCCTCCTCTGAGAAAAAAGATTAAAATTTTAATTTTCTAAGCGTGCAAGTATATTTGAAAATAAACTTTTAAAGTTAATTATATTGGAAAATTATTCTTTGCTTGAGAGAAAAATTGAAAATTATTCTATAATTTTGCAAATTGGATTGAATGAATGAATGAATGAATGAATGAATGAATGAATAAATAAATAAATGTTCTAATTTCGAAACTCGATTAACAAATCGAAATTATAAAAAGTTTAATGACATTTAGATAATGAAAATTACCATTTATACGGAATACGTAATTGTACCATAAATATTTAAAAATGTTAATCAAATACGACGACATCAGTATCCAGGGCCATAAATTAAACCTTGAAAAAGGTTTAAAAACTTCCGCAATCGTGTCCCACCGCAAACATATTCCACCAACATTCTTCCCATTCCATTCCATCTTGGTCAGATCCATTACACCACCGGTACAACGAACCTTGTCCACAAAGGGAAACAGAGTACAGACACGAGGCTCGACAACGGGCTTAGGTCGGCAGAAACCGCCACGGTAACATGCGACACACTGAGTCATCGCATTTTTACGAATCGTTCCTCCGAATCCAATGAATATCACGAAGAATTTTCTCGAAAGCGTTCGTTACATCGGTCTCTCGTTCAAAAGAAGAACAGCCATTTTTTGTCGACACCGAGTGGGAGGGAAAGAATACGATCAACAGATTTGGAGAAGAGATTTGAGAGAAATTCAATTCAATTTTTCGAAGCATCGTTGGATCGATATCACTATAAAGCGAATTTTTGGAATTTCGAACATTAGATCATACGTTTTACGAAAATAAAGATAAGATATTATGTCGAAAAGTTTTTTGCGGAACACAATAATACACGAGATTAATTAGAAATAATTAATATAATAAGTTTGATTGCTCATCATTTCGTTATTATATCAAAATTTATTTCACATTCCTATTACTATCGTATATCTATAGAATTATTGAAATATCTTTGTCAAAAGTTCAAAAATTTGACGTTTTAAATATAGTTTGATTATTTCATTTTCAAAAATAAAAATCCAAAATTCATCTCTCACCACTCAAAAAGTCAAAATTCCACATCACGATTTCTATCACGATCACAAGAATACTGACTCTTGAAATTTGATTTTTCCAGCAATGATCAATTTCTAACCAATGGACGAACATACGAGCAACTTTGCACAGTTATCAAATTATTTCACATATTATCGAATGCAATAGCGCTTAAAAGCTAACAAATCGAGCGAAAGAGCACACGTATCCAGTTTTGACACCGACAATCACGCCGATTATATGTGGCCAAGTCTGCCATTGGCCCATCGTTCCCTCCAACCGGTGTCTCGCTTTGATCGTGCAATTAAATTTCAACGAGATATTCAATTTTAATTAATCCCACTGTAACGCACGTTCTCGTCGATAATTCGTGTATAATTGAAGTCGGACGTGCGTTAACGCGACTCGTGAATCTGCGTTTCGTATCCCTTATAGGGAATTGGGTGTGCAAGTCGATGGTCAGCGAGAATATAAATCCGGATATGGTTAATGCTTATGATTCGCTTTGCTTGGTTTTCGTGGAATTTGTTTTCGATTTTGTTATTTCATTTCGTCGTCCGTTTCGAATTAATCGGATATTAATCGCGATGGAAATTTGTTTGAATGAAATTTTGATAATGATTGAAATAGAAGTAGATTGAAATCGTTTGTATTTTTGAACAATCACGAACAAAGAATTAATCAAGATTGCGATGATCGCGAGACGACACTAGCGCCTATTAGCGGCTATTAAAGATACTACTAGTAAGATAGTCTAGTAATTTTTTGTATCGGAAGGAATATAATTATTTGAATATTTTTAAAAAAAAGTAATAATTAAATAAATGAATAAAAATTTTGTTAGTTCTTGGCGTGAAACTAGTGAAATTTTTATTCTTTTTTTTAGAAGTAGATAATATTAAAGATAATATTTATCCAAAGATTTATCCTTTCATGAAGCCTATGCAATAAATGAACAATTCAAAATAATCCTTTGTATACATAACCTATGAATTTTCATAAAAAATTTTTTCATATTTCAGCAAAAACATATAAACATATGCAATGTTTCTCATTGCAATGTTTCTCTTTAATAGCAAAAATATTGGCCAAAGTGAACAAAAATACAATACCAATACTCCATCCGAGTGAAAAGTTAAATGGACATAATTGATTTCGTTGGGCATCCATACTTATCAAACAAAAGAAAAAAGGATACTTCATAAAACCAGCGACGTTTCCACAAGAGAAACCCAGTTTTCATTCAACTACATTCTAGGCCAGTTCTCGAATTACAAACCACGATACATTTCCACCTTCGGCCATTGTCATATGGTCTCCCCTCCCCTCTGCTTGAATACACATATTCCTCCTTGTCCATCCATCCCTCTGTTTTTCCCTCTCTTTTCCGCTTATTTCACACAAGACTCGTACGTACTACACATGTTCCACCGATATCAAGAACGTGCCACCCGACTGTTCATCCGGATATCGACTTTTCTTCTGTATTCCACCGGGAGATGAACGACGAACGGAACAAGTCACGATTATATTTCCTCGCCTCGGATACATACGATTGTCCGCCATGCTTTTGCATTCGCCAATATAACCCGCCTTAAAACGAGGTTTTTTCCTATCATATGCACTTATTTCTCTATTTGTGCATTAATCTTTTGGGGATATTTTTTTGAGGCGTTATAAATTCTGTTGCAGCCATTTATGAGAAAAGCTAACTTTTGAATAATAATAATTGATGAGATTTTCTTTTTCTCTTTCTTTCTACTGAAGTTGCGTTGAATTTCTGAGAATAAGTATAAAACTTGTTAGATTAGTATAAAATTGTTCAATATTAATCTTAAAATGCTACATGAAAAAGATTCTAGCGATATTAAAAAGTAGTGAATATTGAAATTGATTAACGAAGTAAAAATTAAATTGATCTAAATAACATTGGTCAAAACACCAATGGGTTATATTACGTTATATTTTCATAGAAATTACAAAAAATGGCTAAAAATCTTTTTGTAATAGAAATTACAAAAAAATTACAAAATATGTGAAACTATAAAGATATAACTATATATCGTAAGTTATTGATATTACGGTCATTGGGTACAATTCTCATCGTTTCGGTTCGCTTAAAGGCACGTCGAACGTGACAAGCGTGCAGAAAATAAATCTTCATCGAAGAAAAACGCTTCAATATGAAGCGTTAATTTACGATACCTGAAGGCGATCTCGAAATTACCTGTCATACGCGTGTGACTCTGCTGGGAGATCCAAGCCCCTTCGGCAATTGGTCCATAATGTAGGGTTCTCGAATAAAAAAGAAAAAAACAGAAAATTGAATGTAATAACAAGTGTTCATCCTAGAAAATATAATATTAATTTATACATGAATTAGTCAAGTTATATATTTCTTAAACGATTATTATTACAATTAGATTTTGAATAAAATTTCACGAATAATTTAATTTTGAAGTTTTTAAAACAAATCTTATATAAATCCTTATTCGTGAAACGTTTTCTTCGTCTAGAACTGAATCAATTAACAGCTTCACATATTTAAAACAGCGTCAAAAATCAAGAGAAGGATTTCCAATGGCTTGATATTAATTTTAAGTACAAGAAACAATAAAATGCAACGAAATCCAAATCGAAAGCTGTGCATACAATTCTTATATCGAGTATGTGCATAAAAAAAAACTGAATATACATTTCTTCATGACGCATATGTTCACGTCAATCGCCATTGAATAGAAAATCTCCATGACACGCATACGCGGTATAGAATAAGAAATTTCTATATCGCATACGTTGCGTCATCGATTTCTAATATATCAACGATGATCCATCGAAAAGTTTTCACGCGATCAACTAACCCTTTCATTTCACCACGAGCATCTTTTCCACGTGGAATGGAATTTTTCTATTCGAAAGATATCGATGGCTCGTGCGCTATTCCTCCGACAAAGTACCGATCACTCGGGCGAAAAGTCAAATACTTGCGCGCGAATGGTGAGGAGACTTTATCAATGTCTTTGTATAAGAAAAGGGATGTATCGTAAGAGCCGTAACTCGTGCTCACGTGCGATCGAACAATCGCAATTTATTTCATCGTGCTATCTGTACAGACGCGTACAAGAAACTTCGTGCAGAGGTGTATAAAAGATGGTCAACGAAACCATGATAAAGTAGAGTCAATGTTCGTAATTAAAATCACATTTCTTGATTATACTCTCTTCTTTTATTTGTTTTTATTATATTTTTATTTACATACTTTCTTTTTGCTTGGATTTTTTTGGATTTTATTATATCGGGAATGTTTTATGGAAAATTTAAATGTACAAGAACATATATATGATATAAAAAGTGAAAAATTAAAAGTATAAAGAATAGAAGAACATTACCATATGTAATGTTTAAAGAGTTTAAAGAGGAAGAGATTTTTTTTCTACTTATGATGTAAAACATAATACATAATACATAATATTAATGATTGGATCTTTGAAATATTTTGAATGTTAGAAAACATTGTGTATATTTTTTAAATAGTTTACAAAGTAACTTAACCTAATATAACGCGACAAAATATTCTCCGTTTATTATGAATGCACTTCCTCAATAGAATTGCAAATTCTTTAATTAAATTCCCGATAAAGAAATAGGCTTTTATCAATTTTATAATAAACTACATACGTACGTTCAAACTATGCATTCAGCAATCCATTTCAACGCTACATAACCTCAATCTAAATAACTGCCCTCGCATCGATCATGTTCAATTCACCAGTCTTAATCCAACTCAATCATTCTTCATTCTATTTAAAATTGCAAAAAATAAACATTCAATCTACATTCTAAAAGTAAATTTATGCTTATTACATACATAATATTATATTACCTTTCTAATGTAGAAGACATTGATGATCTTTTTGTGTATTTTTTGTCAAAACTATTCTCTTAAAACAAATATACAATGGTATGAATAATATGATTGTATAAATAATATTGTAGAAATAATAAATCGTGCACCATATCACTAGATAATATTCACAATAATATAATATGAAATTAAATAATAAATATAACTTTTTTACTTTTCTTTTCATAGAAATACAAAATTCTGACGAAATATAATACTCTGACATAACTCGGAACAAGTCGGAAAAATTCGGGTGGGATCGGAGAAGACTTCGATACTCTTATATTCTTCACGACAATATCGGTTCCGATCCTACCCGAACTTCTCCGACTTTACCCGAAATTTACATTTTCGTTATTATAAAATGGTGTTGCACAAATTTACTATATAAATAATATAGAGACTTTAGAATATAAATTTCAGATATTAAAACAACGAAAATATATAAAATATACAAAAAATATCAAGTAGATAAAATACAGACTTGCTTTAAAATATCGCATCATTTCTCGAATCACGAAATAAAAATCGTAATATAGTTCTATCGCATTGAAACTCGAAAGAATCAGCGCCTAGTTGAAAATTACACTTCGTAAAGTTCACGAAAACATCGTTTCTCTGTTATACCTTTTCTGCTTGTTCGAAATTACAAATTAAATCCTTTCATGCAGATCGTTGGTGCGATCTAAAAAAAGACGATAAGGTAAGGAAACATAGAAATTAAGGGTAGCAACCATATTTCGAATAATTCGAGATTTAATAGACTGCCATTTCGAACAACGATCTCGAAACTGTTTCAACTTGGATCGAATGGATTCGTATACACGAATCGTGAAAGCCTAATTATGTCTCATAGAATGAATTTCTAGATTTTTAATTAATTAATAATTTTTAATTAATTAAAAATTAGAAGATTTTTAGATTCTTCTGGAAAGATAGTGTAATTTTCGTAAGATCTTGAGACAAATTCTAATTTTCCATACACTACGTTTCTTCTTATCATTTTATCTGATTTTCATAAAGGCTGGTTCTAATAGAAATTAATAAAATAACCAGATAAACTCGTAAATTTTAGAAAATCAATTATTTTTAATAATGATATTCTTCAATAATATCATGAATTATTGTTATCAATAGATTAAAATATAATTGTATCAAGATTATTAAAATATAATTCGTTTTCAATCTTGGATTACGATCTTTAAAATCATAATATGTATTTTGTTTTGGATACTTTATGTCTTTTATATATCATATACATCCTTATATTTTGTATATTTCAATTTTTATGAAAAATTATGTATAAATATTCACAATTCGTTCTTTATATTATAAACATTCAATTAACATTAATATTGTATTATAATCACAATAATAATTCATTCGTATTCAGAAATTTAATTATTAAATATTCAATCACCTATCAACAACGTATGCATCTGTAAAATTTTTCTTTAAACGATCCTTTAAATAAAATAATTTGTGCACAAAGCCAAGTGAATCATGTCACAGTCGAAAAAACAAACGCGCGAACCAGATAAAATCAACGTGTGAAATAGAGCAGGAAATTCTTGTGGTTCTTTTTCGAGAATTTATCGGATAGGGTAGGCTATAAGGAAAAATCACGAGAGGGGGACTGTCGTCTATGTTCTGGACGAAAGAAAGTCACGACATTCGAGCATTTACCATGAAAATCGAGCGACGGTTCAGAGAAAAATTCCTAACGACTTTGAATCCCCTCCGCGGAACAACTTCTAACAGGTGGAACAAAATGGAAGATCTTTAACCCTCGATGGCGTATCCGTGACACGGCTGGCGAATATCGGATCGTTTTCAGCACGAAGCTCAATTTTTCTTTTAACATTTTATAACAAGAGTTTAAACTGAATTTTCAACGTATTATTTTTTTTTTCTTTTTTTTTTCTTTCTTTTTCAAAGTTTTCTTTTTTCTTTTCTTCTTTAAAATACACAATTTAGGAAATTATTCCGTTTTTGTATTTGTTCTTTTCTTTTTAAAGATTTATTCTTTTTATTTTTATTTATTTATTTCTTTTAATATATGATAAATGAAATAAGAAAATTATTTTATTTTTGTACCGATTTTTTTTTTATGAATTCTATTCTTTCTTCTTTCTCAAATTCTTTCAAATATATATATATTTTAATTATTAAATATTAGAAAAGAATCATAAACGCATTTCGTGATATTCAGATTATCAATATTTTCGATAATTATTCTCACGAAACTTCGTTCAGCAACATCAATTTAAACATCAGAAAAATGAAGCCCAACTATAATATGTTTCATTCGAAATGTACAATGCAATTTTTTTGCATTCCGCTTTGATACACGTTGTACAGGTTTACGGAACGTTAAATAAATTAGCAACCCTCGAAGTAACGTCAGTACAACCGGGAATAAAAAAGTTGATTCGTGAAAACCGCAAACGAATCGCCAGTATTCACGCGACGAGGAATACCGACGAGAATGTTTTTCCAAATGTAATGTATAAATCAGAAGAAAAACTTGTCTTTTTCCACCGAGAATTGTGTGCCGCTTGATATACAGAGATTGTTAAAAACTACTTGTTACATTTATTATATTTATTAAGTAAAATCCAATTTTAAGAAATTATTTGTTTCTTGATTTATAATATAATCAAATATTTTATGATTTATATGTGACAGATATGAAACCAATAATTGTGTTTTAGTAATTTATAATATAATTATATGATATCATATGATATCATAAGAAAAATACAGTGGCAAGATTATATATAAGAATAATTCTTTATTTATATTTATTTAAAGGAGAAGTAAGAATATAGTAAGGATATTTTATATTCTGGATATATATATATAATTTTTTAGTTCCATTTTAAAAAAAATGAAATAAATGAAAAACAAATAAAGAAAAATAAGAAACAGAAATGAAATATTTTATGATATAATAATTAGCAGCATTGACTGAACTAAAGAAAAGAACTTGTTATTTATACGCTTGACAATAAAAATATAAATCTGCATTTTTCAATAGATAAAAAATGATACATATAATATCTCTTTTAATATAAAAATAAAGATTCATATATTCGTAGTATTCTGATTCAAAGAAATAATGCAATTATTCTTCGTGAAAATTAAAAAAAAAAAAAAGGAGATGAATAAATAGCTCTAGAAGCAAATTAAATGTAAGTACGAGCGTGAAATAGATTCGTGGCCAGAGAATGGTGAATTTTCATGCTGAAACTGCTTTTGAAGAAAGCAAAAAAAAAGAAAGAGCACGATATTTTAATTTATTTTTAAACGAGCTCATTTTACCTGTTAAGTAGAACGACCAACGTTTATAATAGAGACTTGATTTCTTCGTTATTTTTTAGATTAATAATTTCTATTACTTTTTTAGCATCTTATCGTAATTATTAGGAAAATTTTAATGAAACATCTGAAATTTGTTTTATTAATTTTTAACAACGAAATTATTAAAATGGAAACGAAATCGAAAATATTATTGTTCCATATGTAAAATTATAAATGATTATTAAAAAAAAATTTTTCATTAAATTTTAAATTTTTAACCGAATCTATTTTTAAAATTTATCCTTGAATTTGTATTGATTTATTTATTCGAAAAAGAAAAAAGTATTAATTGTGAAATGTATTTAATATTTTTAGAAATATAGATAAATAACTACTATTAAATGAAATTTTTTTAAAATCATTTTTCTAAAAATCAAGTTCTTAAAACAGAACTGAAGAATTCTTTCATTTAGTGACTTAGATCATAAATCACTTTCTAAAACATCAAGTTATACTTTTTATTTCCATTGTCGGCCAATAGCAAAGCACAAAGTTCCACTATCACAATTATATATATACAATGTCTAGAATACTTTTCCAAAACTAATATAAAATTATAAAAAATATAAATTCAAAGAATTTTTTTAAATCTATCTAAAAATAATCGAGCAATGGTAATATAACTCGTTCCATTACATTTAAAAAAAATGCAAATTTTTAACATTAATTTTTAATATTTAAAGTTAATTCTTTATTCATTTTCGATGAATATCGATATCTCAAACGAAGAATAACGATCAGGTTTCAAAATTATTAAAAAATATTCTTAAGTATCTTTAATTTCGAATATAAGAAATTCATACATATTTAATATTTTATCTACCAATTCATAATTATTCATTAACGATCAATTCAATCGAAAAGTTGATTAATAACTTATCGGTCAATAATTAGCATCGAAAAACTATTAATAAGTTTTCAATAAATAAAATATCAAAATTTAATTGCAAACTAAACGATTTGAATTAATAACAACACAAAACTTATTACAAATGATGATATTTCATTACTAAATCAAAAATAACTTCATCTTCGAAAATATAGATAGCAAAACTTCATTGGTTATATAAAAGCAACGTTACCTAAAAAATATCCCTAAATATTCCTATAATTATAATTTAAACTATTTAAAATAATCATACATTTTTAAGATACGTCTTAATTAATTCGAATTAATACACAAACAACATAAAAATTCTATTATTATTCCAAATGATATATTATACTCAAAAATATGACTGAAAAATAAGTTTATCCACGTAAACAGAGATATCATAAAGTTACCACTGAAAATCCTAGCGTTCTTCCTGCGCAAAATCTTATATACTATCCACGCGCATAAAGATCGAACTTCATCATCCGTGGACGATTGCAAAAAGATTCGCGACTAACCTCTTATACGCGTTTATTCCATCGTCAGCGAATTCTCACCGTGAGGATAAATGGCGAAACTTTTCGACACAGGCATCCGTTACGGATCTAGACGCCTAGCCATTATCCACCATAATCACAAACTACTTCTGTATTTAAGCAAAACAACTTTGTCTTTGTCTTCAACGCGTTCTTACGACTCATCCTTGGAAAAATGACGAAGAGCGAAAGGCGCAAAACACGAAAGACACGGCAACTTTTCGTGGAAACAATATCCGCGTCGCGACGTCTAAGTTGTCAGCCCGGACAAGAAACGATTCAACGTGCCGAAAACTTTGTTCGCCGGTTTCCAGGCGCCGTTCGGGATACCGACATTCTCAA